AGAGAAAGAGAAAGAGAGAGAGAGAGAGAGAGAGAGAGAGAAAGAGAAAGAGAAAGAGAGAGAGAGAGAGAGAGAGAGAGAGAGAGAGAGAGAGAGAGAGAGAGAGAGAAATCGATAAAGTAACAATTCGAAATAACGTTGAGTCTTAACTTCGACCAACCATATCCTACTTTGTACTCTTTACTGTCACACTAAATGGTGTTCACCGAAATACGAGAGCGAGATAAAAAACGGCACTGTAAAAAGAGTAGCAACCGAGGCAATCTGTACAAAAAATCCAAAGGATGTCTATAGTTGTGAATGCTCACGTCGGACGAACCTGGAAGCAAAGTCAGGGAAGTATGATAATCCGGGGTACGCTCGTGATGATTGATGGCGACAAATACGGAAGGTCGTGGTATCTTAGAGAGCGTTCACTTGTCCGATAAAATTAGTTCGTTGATCGGCTACGACGAATTATGGAGGAGTTCGCCGTTGAAAAAGAAATGGAATCAGCGAGACAACTAACGTGGCCTCATGGTACCGTTTAATGGCTGCATCGCGAGGCTTCCGTTAATATAGCCGTGATACGTGGTGTACACCGCCGCTGGATTCTGCTGATGAGGATCCTGAGAATAAGGTGCAGGTACATTTACAACACCAACGGGTAATTGGCTCGCTTGATTCATAAAGCCACCCAATTGTGCCGCTTGATTCATGTATCCGGTTGCCGGTTGAGCGACTCGATATCCGTATGGTGCGGCAGCCATGAGATTCGTATTCAATGCCACGTTCGGACTGACCCTGCTAGCGGCACTTTGCATCTGCGGACAAGTGCTACCAGGATCAAGGGTTTGTCGATAGAGACTCTCGCTGGGATAAGGCTGAGTAAGAGACGGCATATTTGAATTGGACGATGACCTCGATGCCGATCTGCTTGGTGGCCCTGGTGTACCTGGTGGTACCGTATTCACGTTGTAGTAGTTTTTTGCATAGCCTAAAGGTACCTGTGGAGGCGTTGGTAATTGCCTCGAGGTCTGCGGTGGCGTCATGGTATGTGGTATGGGCGGTGGTGGTGTCAGATTCATGGCCGGTGGTGGCGTAGGTGGTATCATCTCCAAACCGTTGGTTAGCTGCTGCAATTTTGCCAAACTGCAGGAATTCGTTGTCTGATGATTACTCGAACCAGAAAGAGATGGTGCCGGCGTATGCGAATGTGGTGGCATCGCACTCGTTTGTATGTAGAAATTAGTGGCGGTAGTACATGGCGTTGGTGCACCGGATCTACTACTTCGATGTTGTATCACATAAGTATTCTGAGTAGGGAAACCTTGTGACGCCACGGCCATGTAATTTCCTTGAGAAATGACAGCCATATTGTGAGAATGTGCAGCATGCGTATGAGAATGTGGATGCGGCACAGGCGGTACGCTCATAGAGGACGATTGTTGATATTGGGGTATATGAGTCGAATGGGCTACAGTAGTGTGACTTGTATGCGATGATGTTGTATGTTGCGATGTTTGCGTATGTGGCGTCGGTGGTGTCGTTCGATGAGATCTACTTTGTTGTGCAGATCTTGATCTATGAGTCGTTTGAGAACCACTCGCCCTCTTATTACTATGAGACTGTTGCGTTTGCTGTTGCGGTTGTTGTTGCTGCTGTTGTTGCTGTTGATGAGTCGATGGCTGTTGTGGTTGCGTAGTTTGTGATTGCGTATGTGCCATATTTTGACTTTGTGTCTGCTGTGCCATTGATAATTGCATCGGTTGTGGAGTATGTGACTGAGGTAAAGGTTGAGGAGTATGACTTTGTGGCATTGGCTGAGGACTCTGCGTTGGTATATTTTGAGGTGTATGAGATTGCGGAAGAGGTTGTGGCGTATGAGATTGAGGAAGTGGTTGAGGCGTGTGACTTTGCGGTAACGGTTGTGGACTTTGTGTGGGTATACTTTGGGGAGTATGAGATTGCGGAGTTCGTGGTTGTTGAAGAGATTGTGGAGTATGGGGTTGGTGCATCGGATGTATACTGACATGAGCTGGCGGTGTATGTTGTGGCATTGAACAATCAGCGTATTGGACTTGTTGTGGTATATTCACCGATACCGAAGTGGACGGTGCCGTGATTTGCATCGAAACTGATATCGGAACCGTAACAGGTCCAGCTGGCATTGATGGTAACGCACTTGGTGGCCTTTCTACGCTGTTTTGCGATGCCAAATCACTGGCTATAGAAGTAGGAGATTCTAAGCCAAGCTGACTAACGTCT